CCCCGCCGCCCCGCACGGGCCCGAGCGGCTCCCGGCGGCCCCGCGGCGCTCGTATAAAACGTGTGTGTGTGTGTGTGTGGAAGGGGGGGAGGTCAGTGAGGGTCGCCCGCGGGCCCGGTGTCCCCGCCGGCGTGGGCTGTAGCGGTACCGTAAAACGCGGGTGCGGCGCCGCCGCCGACATCCAGCAGGCAGACGCGGTGCCTCGCCGCGAAGCCGAAGAGGCGGCCATCGCTGCTGGCGTCGCTGCAGCGGCTGCTGTACCAGTTCGGCGAGGCGGGCAACACCCGCACCCCCGCCGCCGCCATCGCTCCCGGGCCGCCCCGCTCCGCCTCGCCTCGGGCGCTGCCGCCAAGCGCCGCGCACGCCGTCGCAAACCGTCGCAAACCACGCGCCTGGCCGCGCGTGTGCGGGGGAGCCTCTGCCGTGAAGCGAGGCGGGGAAGATGGCGGCGCGGTGGGCGCTGGGCGCGGGTGAGTCTGAGGGGACGGAGCGGAGCGCTGGTTTCGGAGCGTCTCGGCTGCTTATCCCTTGCTCACTGTGCCGCTTCCTTTCAGGTAGCGACTGGGTGCGCGGTCTCCTCGGCTGGGCGCGGCCGGAGAGGTGAGTCTGGCTCTGCCCTGATCCTGGAGCAGGCCCGTTCCAGCGGGGCACCGGCCGTCTCGCTCAGGGGGTCCCCGGGGCTGGGGACCGGGGTCGCCTGGCTCGGGCCTGTTGCTGACTTCTCATCCTGTCCCGGCGCTGTGGGGAACAGGTCGCTCCGTGCTTCTGTGAAATCTTTCTACGTACTTGGAGATTGTGGCGTGGTGGAGGTGTTTCTCTCTTTCTCTTGACCCCTTTGTGTCGGGCATGCAGATTTCTTCCCGTTTTATGGTGCCTGTCACAGTAACACGGTACCTGTTGCTTCCCTCTGCGCCCTCCCCAGTCATTGCTTTTCTGTAGTTGCTGGTCTTTCCCCTCCGTCTGGAGGAATGGCAGAGTTGTGCTGGGGGAGCATGGGTCACTGCTGACTGTGTCCCTGACTGTAGAAGAAAGGCTGCTGCGGATTCTCAAAGTGCAGAGCTTTGGTCTCTGCTAGAGCCTGTGGAGGTAAATTGCAGAGACCTGTGTCACTGACGGAAGAAGAAATAGGCTTATGTTGCCTGTGCTTTGCTCATTGCCTTGCAATTGAACAGACTTATGTGCTAATTGTTTTACTTACTTTTTCTAGTCTGTATGTCTCCCATTTGCTGCTTATGCATGATTCTTTCTGGAAAGGTGCTCAGCTTTTCTTTCCTGTTCCCCTTACCTACCCATTCATAATGTACTTTTGCGTGTTGCTTGTCACTGTTTTCTTTTGCTTACAATGTGTTTGTGTTCTCTTTTTTTCTCCTAAAGTTATGATAAATAGAGTTGCTCTTCACATGAGGTTGGGTTACATTAAGATAGAGGGAATGTAAGATGTCTTAGCTTGTTGAATGTGTTCATGTGTTTTGCTAATACCAGGAAGACAATACTTAGTTCATTACTATTTAAGTTGTTAAATTGCAAAGTGATATTCATATGCTTGTCAAATATTTTCCTGTATTAATCAATGATACTATGTCTGGTGATGATGAATTGCTGTCTTGATGAATGAAATTTTTAAGTATTAAGCAAATAAACCGTTTTTTGGCAAATATTTAAAAAAATATTCTGTAACATTTGAATTTGTACGTTGTGCTACCCCCTACTGATGTGATGTGAAAACTTCAAGGTGTTCAATGCCCTCTTGACACTAATCAACATGTTCTGTTTGCCAGTTGTTTTTAAAATGCTTTGCACAACTTGGCTACCCACACGAAGCCATTCAAGCCTTAGTTAAACTCACAATATCTGGTCTTGAACTCATCTGTTTCTTGTAGTTATGAGTGGCTGTCAGTACTGCTTTACCTAGTCAGCAGGGGGCAAAATGTAGCTTGGTTTTCCTGAATCTGAGGTGAGCGAACTGACTGAAAACTAGAGTGGTTTTGCTATCGGCTGTCTTATATTGACTTGATTGCCTTTTGAAAGTAGTTTGGAATATCGTTCAAATTTCAGAATGTTTATAAACTTGTAATACTTTGTTGATACTCAGTCCCTTGAAAAACTAGAATTTTTTTCTGGTAAAAACGTTGTTGGTAAAAGTTAAATAAGTATTGGCTAGTCTTGGAAGAGATGTAAATTGTTTGTGTGAGTAACAAACCCTTTGTAAGAACAAAGATGTGACTGTGTCTTTCTGTGATGATCTGGGGACACTTAATGTAGAATCTCGTGCCATACCAATGTCACTTACAGTTCATGGTTTGCTTTAGGAAGCCTGAGGCTTCTTGTTAAATTAAAAAGCCCTTTCAACGTAAACTAGAGGACTTGAACAGTTTTATTTTGTGAGTAGTCAAATGTATCAGTTCTCTTTATGAAGACAGGTAAGTTCACAATTTTCCAGGTAATCTGGGCAAGGACAAAGAACTCTTGTGTTTAGCAGCAAAGACTGTGGTCTTGTCTTGCAGGTGGCTAGCATCCAGTAGCCTTTTTCCTTTGTCATGCATCCACACAAGCACATCTCTGCAGAAATTTGGGAAGTGGGAGAAAAAGAACAGGATTGTTTACCCTCCGCAGCTGCCTGGAGAACCTCGCAGACCAGCTGTAAGGATACACCTGTGAATTTCCTTACCTGTTTATGTTTAGCAACTTCTGAACAGGTGGTCACTGTCTCTGGGTGACTCCACAAGGTGCTAGTTTGATAGATTATTTATTTGTTATTTAAGATTTCAGTCAGTTTGGCATCTTTATATTGTAAAAGTTAACATCACTTTGAATGTTTTCCATTTCTAAATTATATTGGAGCTTCAAGTTGCTTGCAGCTAATCACTTACCTAATATGTGATGCAAGCTGCAAAGGTACCGTCCTCTGTTTGTAGAAGTCTCTGAACTACAAGGAGGTAGAAGTTACCAAGGATGTAGCGTTATACACTTATTTCCTGTCAGTACAAACAGAACAATTAGAGAGGAACACGATTGTATCGTTGCTTCTGTGCACAAAGATATAAAGGTAACTTTCCTTGAGTAGTGGAACTAGTGGTGCCTGTTTGATGTAGGTACGATAGAGTGCACGCTCTTTTCATTTCTTAATTTCTCTGTGTTATAGATTCTCTGAGGTCTGATAATGTGTTGCCTCTTGCTGTGGCCTCCCCGTAATGAAGCTGTTCAGAGGTTGTTTTCTGTCATAGCAGTTGCTTGAAATGTTTAATGTGGATTGAGAGGTTCTAAAGTTACGTGGGGAGGGACATGCGAGTCAGATGTGGCACATGACTGCAGGAGGTTTTTTTGTTAGGAAACCATTTTATATATACTGTACAGCGGAGTTGTTTCTTCAGTCTGTTGCACAATAACTTGTGTTTTACTAAGCCATAAACTGACGCGAAGAATCTAAAACCATTGTTACCTGTTTGCCCACTGTAGGGCCTTCTGCTGGCTGTTCAAGACAACTTTTGGAAAAGTCAGCATAAGTAACATGGTCAATTTTTTAAATGCAGTAATGACAGATTATTTTTTGATAACAGCAGGTTTATGCCTGTTTCTCCCTGTCCCCTCTTATTGATCGTTTTGTAACTGGGAAGTACAGTTAAATGTGAACAGAAGCAAGCCTCTTAAATTAAGTGGCATATAGAAAACTAAGTGTTGTGTATTTGATCACTGAAGGGACTAATTGGTGCTGCTTTCCCTACAGCACAACATGGGAGAGTTTGAGGTTAATTCTTCAGTATTTCCTCACTCTTGAACGGATATTTTGGAATTCCATTTTTGCAGTTGTTCTTCATTGGAAATTAATGTGTTGTGGCCTCTGTTAGGCATACTGCCCAGCAAAGCATTTGCAGTTCAAAAGAATAGGGGTGTTTTGGACATGTGCTTTTGTGGGACATGAGCATTTATTGCTTCTGTGAACATTATGGCTTATGATGTAGAAACACATGCTATGTGCTGTGCTGACTAATAAAATGTATGTGAAAGTGCTGTTATCGACCAATTTGCTTATTAAATCAGTTTTTTACCTGTTCAGAAAGAATGCTACCTCTTTCAAATTTGTACTGACGTTAAATTTTACTAGCTAGTTTTGGTCCCCATTGGTACAGTAATAATGTTAAATGGGTCTTTGGAGACAGCTCTTCATGCCAATCAAACTTGAATCCCTCTTCACTTATGAAGAGCTAATTAAGTTCATTCTAGTAATATTGTTTAGTTGCTATCCCAGTAAGTTGACTTTGACAGCAGAGTAATATTAGAACTGAATGGGTGTTTCAGGCTGCTTCAAAAGGTGGGGAGGAGGAAAGGAAAAGATATTGAAAAATCTTCTCATTATCCTTTTCAGGAACTTGTGTTTATAAACTAATTTTTATAAGATTTTATTAAAATTTTCTGTATGCTAGCTACTTTTTTTTTAATGTTTTCAGTTTCAAATGTCGAAGGTATGCCTGATTTGGTATGTTCATGGTATAGTAGGGGGAGTCATTTTATTCCTAGTAAGAAAACAGATTGTGGAGCAGACATGTCTGCTCCATTCTTGTTTTCACAACAAAATTACTGATCCTCTAACTTTTTTTTGCACCTAGGAAATATATCACTGTCGGAGGGAAATAAAATATAGCAAAGATAAGATGTGGTATCTGGCAAAACTGGTAAGCGAAAAGTACTTTGTAGTGTGTTTGTTAGAATGCAACATTTAATTGCTGTATTTGCCTTAACAGCTTAGTTCAATCATGGTCTAATCAGCATCTTCATAATAGAGTCCTGGGGAAGAGTGTGCATCTGTGCAGGCGAACAGTTGTTTGTAGTTTTGTTTAGCTGCTTTATCCTAGTATGCTCTCAAATGTGTACCCAGGATCATAGGCAGATTATGCACTGTGGAAGAATTTTTGTGCTGGTTTCTGCCTAGTAGTAGATGGCAAGGGTAACTTTGAACAATAGTAATGGGCTGTTTTGCTCTTTATGAAAAAAAACCTAATTAAATGTTTTATCAAGATTTATTCAATATTTAACTCAGAACTTCTGTATGTAAGATATTACATTGAAGAATTGGTAATTAAGGAAACCAAAGTCTTTTGATTTGCTCTTTATAATGGCAAAATAATTTAATTACTGTCTTCTGAATAAGAGAAGGGAAGTATTTGTAATTGCAGAAGTTAACTTTAACACTTTGGTTGCAGATAAAAGGAATGTCCATTGATCAGGCTCTTGCTCAGTTGGAGTTTAGTGATAAAAAGGGAGCAAAGGTGATCAAAGAGGTATGTAGTAGTATTCTTTAACACTCCTAGTTTCAAGAAAACTTTAAAATCAAATACTTATCACCAGAAGTTTGGAGATGTTTCTATTTCTGTGTTTTTCTATGTTTTTATTAAGCCCATTGGGAGCATATTCAAACAACATTTTTGTAGCAGTCATGTAATGTTGTGACTTATGAATATGCAGAGGTCACTTGTGCTGGCTGTTTTAACTTGTAATTGATAATAAATTACATGTGGGTACCCTCTCTAACAATGCCTGGTGTTAAGTTCATGGTAAATAATGCAGGATTCTTGTCACTAAAGGCTGCTACGTCTATGTGCTTTGGTTCTTAAAATTGTAAGAGATGAAGATATCATCAGGGAAAGGACTGAGTTCTGTAAAGGCATGAAAGCTTTTCATACACTGTAGTAGTTGTTAGGAGCCTCAAATTACTCATTTTCTTGGCCGAAGCATTGATTTCTGGCGTAATAATGACAAAGAAGTATCCTGTATTAGCTGAAAATATTGAATGGCCCAAGTTCATTTTGTCCACCTTGGAATTGTTTCTAGTCTGATGTCTAATTAGACAAAGGTCCATGGATGGAAGGCTGTTAAATGCTCGTGGGAACCATCTTTTCCACTCCCTTTCTTCCCTGCCAAAATGTAATAGAGTTGTAATGAAGATTTTTCAGTCTGTATACAAAGAACATACTTAGGTAGAAGATGTTTGTCTTTTAAAAATTTTGATTTCTATAGAACACTTTTCTGTAGCTGACTTAACATGGAAGAAATTGCAAGTTTATCTAGAGATAAGAAGTAGCATTGCTTAAATTCCTACTCAGTATTTCCATTTCTTTTCCTTTTGTTACAGGTTCTGTTAGAAGCACAGGAAATGGCAGTGAGAAATCACAACGTGGAATTCAAATCAAATTTACATATAGGTACATTTTTTTCTTATTTAATGCAGAAAAATGTCATTCTACCCTATGAAAAAGTTTTATCCTTAATAAGGTTTTGTTGCTTCAAATTAGCAGAAATGAATAGAGGATAGTTTCTAGTAAACTTAGCTTTACCAAAACATGAAAGGCATGTGCAGCACAACTGAAGTTAGTGTGGTTGTTGAGCCTTCAACCATCACTTTGTTGGTATTCTGGCATCTGCTAGATGCATTGTTTTTAAGATGCGTTCATCTGAGAGTGGGATTTCTGCTCCCTACCTATGTGAACAGAAAGTCCTGAAGAGGAGTACGCTTGACATGATTATGAAAGGCTAGACAATAAGAAGCAAACTGTTCCTACTTTTTATTGTTGCCAGTGAACATAGATGCCGGAAGCTTTTTCCGTGACTAGTACTATAGGTTTGCAGGATCAGAATGTAAACTTCTGTAAGAAACAGTATAAAAGTAATTGAATATTGACAGTAGACTTCTTAATAAAAAGGCTGTGTTATAGATAATTACAGGATAGTCTTGTAATAACTACAGCACTTTCTTGCCTAGAAAAATGTTAGAGAAATGTTTACTTGTAGGTGTTTTTAGGCCCAAAGAAAAAAATTCCCCTTTTTCCAAATGTGGTATAAATGTTATTAAGCTGACCTCATAAGCTTAAAGTAACCTGGATTGTAGAGCAGATTTGATTAGAATTCTTTGGAGCCTTCTAGGCCTCTGCCATAAGAAGGTTTATCTGCTAGTGCAGGACTGGATGTATAGATAATGAAAATACCTCTGATGAGTGCAATAAAGGGAGAAAGGAAGGAAAATGAAGTCTGTAAGGCTTCTACAGGAATTCATGAGACAAACTACTGAAAAGCAGTGGAATTAATACCACCTTCAGAAGAGCTATATAATTTAGTAAGTGCTCAGTGTAGCTTCCTTTGGATTTATCCTTTACTACATATTTATCTTTGCATGCATGCTTTCTAAAGTCACCTTTTTGGTGCTCCTGAAGAGTGTTAATTCAGCTCACGGGTTTCTCTATAGCAGTAGTCTGCTAAATATAATAGAAGAAAGATGAAGGAGAGAATCCTGAGTAGAATTAACTTTTCATATGCAGTCATGAAAAATATACTGGCAAGACAGTGTTTCAGTTGCAGATGTGTAGTAGTTTATTCTTGACTGAATAGTCTTCTCTCCCCCCCTGCCTTTTTCCTTCAGCTGAGTCAATGACGGGCAGAGGCCGCTATGTGAAGCGGATTCGTTACCATGGCAAAGGCATGTTTGGCATCATGAAAATCGTCAGGTGCCATTACTTTGTGAAGTTGGTGGAAGGTCCTCCTCCTCCTCCAGAGCCACCAAGGACTGGTTTTGACCAAGCAAAAGAATACGTGCAGCAGCTGCGAAGTAGAACCCTTGTTAATACACTGTGACAAACTTTTGTGACTATATAAGTATTTCTTGTTTGACAATGTAATTATATAAAAGAATGATTAAAATAATGTTTTAGTTATATCTTTGGTGCTGCTGGAGCTGGATGATGCAAGAATTATCATAGGCTTTTTCTTACTTCTCAAGCCATAGGAGTGGAAAAATCTTGGAAAAGCAACAGATGTTACTTCTGAGTTACTTGGACCACAGCATTCAAGCTCTACCCTGGACTATCAAATCTAGAACATGCAGTGCTGTTATAAAGCTTGTGAGGAACTGTGGTTGTCCTCAAATTCATGTAGCTGTCTGTTAATGTATGGTTGGGTCTTTTATTGTAAAAATATGTACTTGACAGTCACATTGCAAGATCAAGACTTGGACTAAAATTACTGAAATTTAACATCTTAAAGTATCTACAATAGTGGAACAAAACAAGTAACAAAAATAGTTGAGATTATCGGGCATTAATTTATGGTTTCTTTATCTAAGCTGTAATGCTCTTTCCTTACAGCCTCTGTTGTGCATCTTAGGCATTGTGTCTGGCAGTGGGGAATAAAAAAATAATTTAAAGTTCAGGTTTTGACAGAGTCGGTAGGTGGCAATGTTTAGTTTGTCAGAGGGAAGTGGCAGTGAAAACTTACAGCATGTTGAAACTGTGTTCTTGATTCTGACCATGGCATTAATAGTCTGATATGTGCGTGGAGTTCAGGCTGTTCTCTGTGGAAACTCAGTATGGGTAACAGGCACAACATGGAGAAAAGCTTGTCTTGGTGAAGAGTGAACAAATCATTCTGCACTGTCTGGAAACAAATTGCTTTTGTAGTGTTGAGGTGAGTAAAATGCTCTGTGGATTTAATATGGAATGGCTTGTTGCATATACAAATTAGGCTTTCAGTTCTCTGAAAACAATCCTATTTTTATCATTACTTCTTTGAAGAGAAAAAGACTGAGGTCAATAGGGGGAATCTCATTTCACCCAGTCAAATTTTCAACTCAGGTGGCCAGAGATCATGAACATCAGCATAAAAAGAATGAGTAGTTGCTTGTTTATGCAAATGTCTACCTTTCTTTTCCATTCTGGGAACATTAGAATGGGAGATAGATTGCTTACTTCATTTGGGTCTTTTTACCACACCAACTAGTGGTAGCCTTTCTTATGCGTGTTTACTTTGCTATGTTCTTGAATGATGGCAAAGGAACAGTTCCTATAAGGAAACAAATTATTTTTGTTGTCTTAATGAAGGTGGCATACAGTTGTTTCTTTTGGCTACCAAAGAAAGGGTCTCATGATGTTAAGAGTATCAGGGGATTGTGAAGTTACACAAGAAGTACATGCATAGCTCAATGCCATTAATGGGTGCTTATTTGCAGTCTGTTTCTCTGCAGTGCACTTACAGATGCATTACTTGCTTTAAAGCCACGATTTAGTAACTTTTATCTGAAAGGTATGTTCCTGATAAAACTCTCTATCTCTGTAGTCCCTGATGTATGTTTGAAGAACTGTTTCTGGTGTGCTATGATAAACAGCTGTGCTTTGCTCTGCCAGTTGCCGTTAAACTCTTTTGTCATACTGAGTCTCTTACAAGTTGTAGCAAACTTGAATGACTTAATCTTTTTAGGGGTCAGTGATCTGGGAGAAGCTAAGGAATTGCAAAATAAGCCAAGCTTAATAAATGCTTGTCATCTAAGCATGTAAAACCTGGCTTTTAGGTATTTTGTTCCAGTACCTGTTTCTCCTGCATGCTGTAAATGTTTGTTTTGGATCCCTTCTGGACCCCCAGACAGGGTTGTATCCTTATAGATATCGTTGCTCTAGTTATGAATCTGCAGATGGGGAGAGAAGTGAGAATGTGACTGATGTCTATTCCAGCTTCTTTATGATGCTGCAGGTGGCCCTGACAGTCTATACAAACAGACCTGGGCTTTTAAAATTTTTCAGTAAAAAAGCAAGGTTGTTGCCTGTCATTCTTGTTTTCTTTCTCAAAACAGTAAGTGGGAAGACTCTTTTTTTGACCTGCTTTTCAGCATTGTGCTTATTCCTTAGTACCCTTTTCCGCCTCCTTAGAGGCATAACCCCTAGTGGATCCTTATGGTGTTGGCTAAGGAATCTCCACAGCTGTGTCTGTAACAGTACAATGATGGGAGATTGGTGAGATGAGGGGCTTGAACTGGCTTGATCCCTGCCTTTCACTGGTAGGATGGTAAGAGTGTCTGAAGTGGTTTCTGTGATAGGTGCATCAGAACATTGGTATGGGAACCTGCCTGAACTTCCTAAAAATTCAGTAAGACCTAGTGATAAAGCTTTATACTGTCAAGTTCTATATATAAATAAAATTTGGCGTTTTTGATTCGACTGTGCTTTCTTGGTAATTAGTACATCCACACATCAGTCAGATAGTTGATTTGGATTCAGACAGAAAATTCCATGCAAACTGCAACAAGTCTTTAGCAGAAGATCATCATTTATTACTGTGACCTCCAATAAAAGAACATTCTTAAATAAGCTGTCATCGGAAGGGAGGGAGAGAGGCACTTAGGCCTCTACTTGATGCTGATTTTATTAGTAACGTCTGGGGGCACTGTAAACTCACCACTTGTGTATATATGTGCTGGTGTTCCAGAAACTGGAGAAGGAGCAAGTATGTGTGAAGGTATAGTAAGGCTTTAGGGAAATCTGAAGAGAGTAGAACTGTGAGCTGTGCTCAGCAATGTGAGATTTAATTGAGGAAAACTTAAAAACCTGCTGTTGGGCATGTTCATAAACATTTTAAAGTAGCCAGTGAGAAAGTTGAAGGACTTTTGTCAGACAGCCCCATGTCTTTTTGGATGTGGGTTTTTTTTCCTTTTTAAAACTCCTGGGCAGTTACTGAGGAGGTAGTTCATCAAAGGTAGAGTAAGGAAGCACTCATGAATATAGTTATAAAGTGACCATCAGCCTCTTTAAAAACTTGGAAGATAAATGTGAGTGTGATAGACAATGACTGGACAGTTAGGGACCTCTGATTCTGGTCAGGTCTGTACTGGAAATTGCTGTTGTGAGGTGGACTGCGTTAGGGCTCGGTGGTACCTGGGCACAGACAGGCACGTTCTGCCTGGTGCTTCAGCTGCGTTGCTGTACCTGGCATGAACTTGACTAGGCCAAGGTCACACAGTGCAAATCTTCTGATTACCCCTGTTTGCACAGGTGGGAGGTGTACAACTACTGCCACCTCCGCATTGCGGAGTTGCTTGGGAAATCCTTCAGTCACTGGAGTGAAGGAACAATAGGAATCAGCGTTTGCGTTCTGCCAGTCCCTATGAAAATCCACTCCTGGGATCCTGGAAAGTCACTTGCAAACAGAATTCTCCTTTAAATAGAAATAAGGTTACTCCTGATATCCTCAATGAACCATAGAAACAAAGTGACATTCTTCACTGTATGAGCTATAGTGCTGCTGAAAATGCCACTATTTCTAGCTTTTCAAAGAGCAAGCCTTTGTTGCTGAATGACATCTATCCAGCTGCACTTCAGCCATGTAATTTAAAATAATTACTAATTAAACAAAATAAGAGACTGTAATAGCAATAATAATCACACAAGTTGCTGTTTGCTGGAGCCTTACCTAGGGAAAATAACTTGAAAGAAGGGGAAAGTTTCAGGAACTGGCTTTTGAGTACTTAGACTGAAGTAAGGAACAAGGTATCTCTTGGGAGTAGTCAGCAAACGCAGAGCTAATTTTGTATTTGCTCTATAATATCAACACTCTCTTCTTGTTTCAGGGAAGTTGTACGCTAATACAGAGGGCAGGCTGCCATTGAAGAGAACGAGCCAAGGAGAGAATAACTTTACATTGGGCATATTAGGCATCCACCTCAGAGTATTAGCTGAGGAAATTAATCTGAAGGTCTATAATACACTTGAACAGAGCATTCTTGAAACTTAAGACAAAACGTGGGGCAGAGCATCTGAATAACTTCTGCATCTGTGGGTGCCACTTCTGTGTGTTGCATAGTAGTACAGCTGTCAAGATTTGTGTGGTAAAATGAATTTGTCATATATGAACCTAGATTCCACTCCCTTTTTCTTTCCTCCAAAAATAATGAAATGGAGGCTTAAAACATATTCATATGATATCTTTATTTTAAATTAGCTTGGAGTTGGGACCATTGTCAACACTGTACCCAGTCACCTGTGTCTGTCTAATGCTATTGGAAATCCAGCCACCTCTCTGTTAGCCTGCACTAGTGCTACACTACTGTCCCTGGGAAAACTCCCGGCAGAGTCCAGCCTGAGCCTCCCAAGCTGTGCTCTGTTCACCTTTGTCCCATTGCCTGGTGCTACTGAGAAGTGGTTGACTCTGTCACATTGTAACTCTCCTGTTGCTATCAGATCACCCTGCTAACCACCTTTTTGGCAGGATGAACAAGGCCACCTTCAACCTCTCCTCATCAATCTACTTCTCTAGCCCTTGTGCTGTACCCTCTCCAGTTTTCCTGTCTCTGTTGCAGTGGGGGACCTAAAACAAGACTCAATGTTCCAGGTACAGCTTCACCAGCACTGATGAGAGGGAGATAACTTCCCGTGGTTGTCTGGCCGTGCTGTTAATGGAGCGAAGTATGCAGTTTGCTGTATCTGTGATGAGAGTATGTTGTTGGCTCACATTCAGCCTGATGTTCATGCAAGTCCCAGGTCCTTTTTAGGTCACTCATCAGAATTGCAGTAAGTACCTGTGTTCCAGCTCTCATTGCTTGTCTGTGTACACTAATGAGGACTCCTTTACCACCAGGAAACTCTTCTGTTATGTGGATGATAATTTTCTTTTCCAATAGAAAAGTTGCAAAAGAGTTTTCTGGCTTCTGTTATTAATCAAACTCTTAAGTGCTATCTAGGAGTGGAGTAAATGCATCTGTACATGCTATTGTGGTAAACTGTCAATGTATGCAGCTAATAAGCGGTGAAATGCGTCTACATCTCTCCTATTGATTATCTCCTTCAGAGCAAGACAAACATAGGTCCTTACTGTATGCTGGCCATGTAAACTAAAACTTTAATTAAATGAAAACAGAGTGGACTGTGAGGTGCACTGCACTGGGCCATTAAAG